AAAAAAAAAAAAAAAAAAAAAAAAAAAGCAAAATTTTTCTTTTCTTTTCTTCTTTTTATTGCATCTGACGTTTGATATATCAATAAAGCATATCAAATAGTCTGGTTCACTAGTGGTCCTGTAGCATCGGTACAAAAAAATGAGGAGAAAAAATGGGAACTATAATTAAATCAAACTTGAAAGTCAAAAGTTAGCTTAAACTTTTGGTTATTCAAAGATAAACAGCAGTCAACAAATCAAGAAAATTTTTGGCGATTATTTTGGCCATCTGTTGATACAATTGATTTCAACTCATTCTTCTGAATGATTTACTATGTAAAATAGTCATCTAAGCATAACCCTTAATTAATCAACTAATAGAATAAAATCTGGTTAAATGTTGATCGGCTAAAAGCCACAAAATCTGGTAGCTAAACAGCAAAAGAAAATTGTCGACATTTTTTTTTTTTATAGTTTCTGGTCAATCCGTATCCGTTACAGTGCAAAGTTTTCATGTGACCAAAGTTTAGATGTTCTTCGCACTGTTATCGATCTATTGGAGTCTCAAGGTTGTTCATCTGTTTCTTCTTTCTTTTTTCCTGTGCAATTTTTTTTCCTATAAAGTTAAGTTTTAACAACCATCAAGTGTTCTTTTGTTTTTTGTTGTTGTGTTCAACTTTGCAAAAACATTGATTCTGTTGTCTCAGAAAAATGTTCTAACAACTATTTTTTTTCTTTTTTTTTTTATTATCTTTTTAAAAAAGACCAAGAAAAAACTCTACAAATAGTAATAAGTTGATAACCGCATTGATAAGCAGTTAAAAAATGAGCTGTCAATTGTTTTTACTTACCTAAGTATTTTTGTTTTGCCAATTTTACTCTGATAATACTATCAGTTGATAAACAAATAATTTATTAACAGAAATAAATGTAATAAAGGTAAAAGTGGTCGATTAAAAATGCAAAAAATTTGTAATTTGTTGAATGGCAGTCGGCAACTGATGAAAGCCACACTTTTTAATTCTTCTTATATTCTATTCAAGACTAAGTTATTCTATATCAGAACAAGCTGTAGCTGGAAGATGATACTTTGAACTTAAACGACAAAATATTTGAATTAACTAAATCGACTGTCAAAAATTTTTGTAAATTTTAGCAGACACTTTTTTCTCGTCCAAACACCAAGTTGACTGCCATATTGCTTTTCTTCCTTTTCTTGAAAAAAAGTGTTTTTTTTGCTGTATACTCAAATAAATTTTAAAACTTTTATTTTATTCTTTAATCACCAATTTTTTTTTTTTTTTGCTGCAGCCTCTACCGTAGTTTTTGAAGTAACATAATTTACTACGTTAAACACGTGCAACGTCATTCTTTTACTCTTTTCGCTAACTTTTATCTCTCTTCTCTTTCAAACCCAAAAGTAAGAATCATTCTTGACAAAGTATTAATCAGTTCAATAGAAATTTGTAACTTTTTGCTAAAAAAAACTGTTTTAAACATTACAAAAACAAAAAATGTGGCAAAACAAAGATGAAAACTGAACAAAGAAAAGAGGAAACAAAAGGAGTTCAACTTTGATGAATATAAAGCTATCAGTTGTAGTATCAAACTTGCTAAGTAATGTAAAGAATTCAAATATTATTTTTTTGATTTTTTAGAACTTTTGTTTATTTATTTGTTTTTTTTATTGCTTATGCTTTTTTCTTTTTCAGTCAATACCACTACTTCTGATGTTTTTTGTTTGCTGTGGTTATCGTTGCTGTTACTGTTGTTAATGTTCTTTTCAAAAAACACAATTTTGACAGTTTTCTTTAACCACAAATTTAATGTGTAACCCAACATTGAAATAAATGATCAATGTTAACAGTGTTTTCTGGACTTAACACATACCTAAGTATATCTGAACAAAGGAGAAGAAGAAGAAGAGAAAGGGAGAAACGGCAAAATTCAACGATGATTGTTTAGGAATTATCATGAACTATGGTTATGTGAACCACAAAAAAAAATTTTTTTTCAAAATTTCTTTTATTGACTGTTCTAATAAACTGTAAAAAAGTTTGCTCCCTGTCGTTTTAAGTTTTAAACCTGTGAAAAGTGTGTTTTGTAACCAAAACTGTGACACATAGATTCTTTGATACTTTCAAATTCATTTCACCTATAGACCGTTATTGTTGTTGTTTTCAGCATTTTATATAGCTTTTTATTCGTTGATTGTTCAGATGTGCATTTTTGTCAACCAAATTCTTTGATTTCAATTATATTTTAGTCAGTTTATAATGTTTTATTGTTTTTTTTTTTCAAATAATTGCTTTATTCCATCAACAATTTCTTTGCCATTGCATTGTTGCGTATCGTTTAATAAGTTTAAGCTTGCGTTTGATGCATTAAAAAAAAAGCTGAAATTGACGATCAGCTTTTCATAAAATACTCATAATCGTAAAAAAAATTGAATTTTGCCTTTTTTTCTTACGAAAATTATTCGTAATGTTGCGATAATTATATAAGATTAGTGTAAGCATACTAATGTTTACCTGTTTTCAGCTATCTAAAAATCGTTAAGAAAAAAATAAAAGAAAGAAAAAGAAAAAAAAAAGGAGGAGGATAAATTTAGAGAAAGGTTTTCAAAAAAAACAAGAATCTGAACTATCGTAGATTTAGCTCCAGTGAACATCCTGATTACACTCTGAATGGGGCTCATACAGCTGTTGGAACGGAATATTGCTTCCTTCTTCCGAAGGATGGGCAACTTTTTGGGTCTGCATCCGCTTAAAGTAATCATAATTGTTATGATACTGACCGGTATTACCAGTCTTGGATTACTGAATTTTGAAGAGATCAATAATATTCGAACTGAATATTCTCCAATCAATGCTCCAAGTCGAAAGGAATATAAGATGGCTAGAACATTTTTAGGCCAGGTAAGAAATTATGCAATACAATTCAGATGTTATCACTTCATTTCTTCATCTTTGATTGCTTTTTGTTTTCTTCTAAATTTTCACTGTTTCTTCGTTGACTTTATTAGGTGCTTCACTAAAAAATGTTCTTAAGATATGTTTAAAATTATTAAAAGATTTTTCTTTCTGCTTTTCTTTTTCTATGAACGTACCAGAAAGAAAATTAGACGAGTTAAAAACTGATTTATTTTGCCCTAAATGATTTCCTGTTGTCTTCAAACCTTTAGCGGCTATTGCAATGGAGACAAATTCCATTGATAAAAAAAAAGACACTTACAATAAATCAAAACGAAAATTTTTTACTAACTTTAAAAGAAATTTTTCATTTTTAACACTCGTGAGACCTGAGACTTTTTCAATTTTGTATAAAAGAAAAAAATGCTATGTTTTTTTCTTCCTGTCTTATTTTTTACCATTTTTACTTTCCGTCGTTCTTCTTCTCAATTTTTGTGCAAAACAATTATTCAGTTTGCAGTTTTAAACTAAAAATTAATAGCAATGGCAAAAGGAGCAATAATAATAATGACAGTGGCAATACCAATTCTTATCATTATCAAGCACAGAAATCATTGAAAGTTTTTATAAGTTTATATAAATATATATGACTTTAAAAATTTTTAACAATTTCTTTTCAAAAGTGATAGAAAAAATTATTTTAGCACATTAATTTGTGCTCAAAAAGTTTTAAATTTTTTTAAACTTATTGCAAAAATAATAAACAGAACTGTTCGATAATTAAATCAAACACTTTGTGAAGTGACTGGTCGATATGAAAACGATCTAATAATATATTTGTCATTTTGTAAAAGCCTGTAAACTTTTTTCTCTAATTTCTCTTTCTTCATTTTTCTACCAAGAAAAAAGAATGAAAAGTGCAGAAAATTGGTAAACTAGATATTATTTTCTGACAGCAAATTAACTGTCTTTTTTAACATCTTTTTCTTTTTTTTTTTTTGCCTTGTCAAGAGTACTGTTCTGAAGAAAACATTTGTATTTGCTTTTAAGAATGGTACAATGGATCCAAGCTATGTGGTCATACAAGCCAAAGACGGTGGTTCATTGTTGCGTGATGAGTATCGAGATACGATTATAAGGTTGACAAGAACTCTGCAAACCAACGTTACCATTGAATACAAAGGCCGCCAATATGGTTTTAGAGATTTATGTGGACCATACTGTGAGATGAATACAGCATTTTTGGCCTTTTTAAAACTGTACGATCCAAATTCACCATCCACCTACACTTATCCGACTATCGAATTTTATGGCACGCACGCTTTCATTGGTAACTGCCTTA